TTCTTTAAATAGGTTAGATACTTTTTAAAGTAGTCATCCCTTGAACTTGGAGAAAAAAACTATCTTAAAAAACGCTGCTATGTTTTTACTGGTTTTGTTGATTTTAGCTTCCAAAATTTGAACTGACTCCATTATTTCTAAGTGTGTTCATGTATGTTGGAGTTCTGCTTACATAAACATGGCTACACATCTTCAATTAATGCCTTGTTTCACTGCTGCTACTTCTCATGACTTCTTGACCAAGCTTTTGTTTTGCTTCTCAAAGAGTTGTTTTAGCCATGAGGCCCTCCTAGGAGTTGCTGAATCTTCTTGTCCTGTTCATTTGCATCAACATCATGAGAATAAAAACTATAAGGCATATGCTTATTACATAAAATCCATTACCCCATAGGAACCCCATGAGTTTGGTATTATTTGGCCATGACCTGACAATGCTTGCTATAATCAGCTGTCTCCTTCCCATGACCTCTCAAGCCATGCCATCTGACTTCTTCAATGACCTTTACCTCATCTATCTCAGTCTTATTCTTGCAAAGGCTTATCTACCTTGAAAGATAACAAACAACCTAAGGATACCAACCATGTCATTTTGGTCACTGTATTTCCCCTGAGGACTGGCACAGGATCTGGCACATTGTGAGTACTTTATAAATGTCTCATAATTCAACCCAGAAATTCCACTTTTAGGAATTTATCATTAGGAAATATTTGTAAAAGTATACAAAGATGTATTGCAAGAGAGTTCATCAAAGAATAGTTTACTGGCTGGGCGCAGTGGCTCACACCTGTAACCAACACTTTGGGAGGCCGAGGCAGGCAGGTCACTTGAGGTCAGCAGTTTGAGACCAGGCTGGCCAACATGATGAAATTCCATCTCTACTAATAATACAAAAATTAGCTTGGCATGGTGGCGGACACCTGTAATCCCAGCTACTTGGGAGGCTGAGGCAGGAGAATCACTTGAACCTGGGAGGCAGAGGTTGCAGTGAGCTGAGATTGCACTATTGCACTTCAGCCTGGGCAACAGAGAGAGATTCCGTCTCAAAAAAAAAGAATAATTTACGACAACCTGAAATCAAATATGTAACAGTAGGCAACAAGTTGAATAAATGATGTTCCACTATATTATAGCATATTATGCAATTATTATTGATGGGATTGGCCCATATTAATTAAAGAAGGAAGATATTCATGATAAATTACTAGCTATGGGAGTCAGACTAAAAGAACATGTACAATGTTGGGAGGTGGCAGATTCTCATTTATTAAAAATACAGGCTTTGTTGTCAAGATTCAGGATATGAACAGAGCTCTGGGAATTATTAACTGTGAGAATTTGGACACATTAATTTTCAGTGTCTCCGTTTCCTCAG